GCGCCCCCGCCGCATCATCGCCCCCCTCGGCGGGCGCGCGGGGGTCCCCGACAAATTCGATATACGCAGATTGCCGCGGGATGGGCGTGCCCAGCCATTCGGCCTCATCGATGTCGTTGTGGCCAGTGAAAAACTCTTTGAACAGCTCGTCGGCGTAATTCTCGAGGGCCATACCGGCGCTGAGATATCTGGCAGCCATGAAATGAACAACTGTGGCTGAGCTATCGGCAGGGTCAGCTAGAAGAGACTCCCAAGCAACATACTGCATGTCAGAATCTGTTTGAGCCAGATGCATTAACGGACCCCTGCCTCTTCCATCACCTTGGGGGCGCTCGCGTCGGAAATGCCGCGCGCTGTGCCATATGTCGCACTCCATATCTTTACCGCTGGCATCCATTAGGTTTCCCCGTCGTCCTTTGCCTTTCCCCGATGTAAGTCTGCGGTTTCTGCCAGTGCCTAAGAACACTTCATCGTGCTGGGGCCCAGTAAGAGATGCTAAGAATGCGAGTATCAATCGCCAGCGCTTACTTTTACCTTTACTTCGACCCTTGCACCTTTCTTTCCTCGTCCCACGATGCGTCTTGCCTTTCGGACTGTTCTTCATGAGTCTCTGCCGGCGGCCGGCGCCTGTGTTTTTGACAGCCTGAAAATAACCATTGCGCTCGTTGCTCTTCAGTAAGGTATGTAGGTATACCAGGGTAATCAAGGGCTGTAGCTTCATCGTCTGAAGACGCATCGGCATCAGTGCCGGAGTCGAAGTCGGACTCTGCGGGTTGCCCCGCTGAGCCCATTAGGGCCATGGCTTGCATGGGGGCAACCGCATCGGGCGGCCCCCGAAGCCTGGCCCAGGAGTCCTGCGACCCCGAGGCCGCTCCACCATTCTGAGCTCACAGCGTAGTGGTCTCAGTTGGTTGTGGATCATCATTCCAGACGTTGTTGGCAGGTTGCCCTGCGTTGGCCTCCGCGTGGAAGGTCTCGGTTCGGTGACCGTGACTGAAGATGTTACGAATATTGTCGGGGGTTCTCTCAGCAATGTGAGCATGTGACCTCATACGTTCAAGTAGAGCGTCAAATTGTTGTTGGTCTCTCGGCATATGGAAGTTTAGAGGCTGCAGGAGTCGTTGTGCACGCGATGTCCCCACTCCAAGCGCTCTGAATAAAACCACTGCTAGGATTCGGAAATCGGGGATGTTGAAGCCGGCTGTCTCAGCTTCATAGCGGGCTATCTCAAGCCGTGCTAACGTCTGGTCGATGCGCTCTCCCGCATGGACTCGGAAATCAATGAGAGCCGTACCAGAGTTGAGTTGGCGCTCATCTTCTAAATTCCCGAACTTCGTGCTTCAGAGGAACATGATGTAGGTGGCGCCATCAGTATGGCGGCCAACCATGTTGACGCCAAAGTTGATAACTGCTGGAAGGACACTCATGGCTATGGCCCGTGCGAGTCCTCCCAAACCTCGCAGCAGACCTGCAGCCTGCTGGGAGAGCGTCAAATTGCCTGTGGTCACGTTGATCCAGGCATATACTTCGCGGGCGAATTCGCGAAAAGGTACTTGACCAACTAGGTCCCAGTGAGGGCCGGTCGTTCTTGTATCGTCTCCGCCGCGCATATGTCCTACCGCGCACCCGATAGCTACCCATGTGAGCCCAAAAGTAATAACACCAATCCAATGGCTTCGTAGGTCGTATTCGGATGTCGTCGGTTGGGACTTCCGTTGGGTAGTCGTAACTTTGCGTGGGGTTGGAAGCGGCAGTATTTCATATCGCATGTTTCCATGCATTATATCTTCGACGAAATTTCGAATTGGAGTAGGTGGGTGGACTTCCGGAGTGTAGAAGCGCAGGGATGTAGGATGTAGGTAAGAGACCTCCGCTTGAACAGAGGTATCGTTGCAAGTGTCCTTGCGATGTTGCGTAGCTATGTACGTTCCTCCGCGAAAACCCACTGCACACTGATGTTCCACCATGTCCGTAGTCCACCAGATAATGCCGTGGATGGTGAGGAGTAGAGCAAGAGCTGACCACAATAGGCCAGCTCCGCTATCAAGTTTGAGGGGGGGTTGGGAGGCCCAGCAAACAGCTTCGCCTTAGGCGAAGCCAAGCTCCTGTTCTGTTGTACCGTAGTAGCGATAGTCCCAATAGGAGAGGATGTGCCATCTCAAGCAATAAGAAGATTTGTTTGGTCTCGATAGCGACTGTGCGCCTCGCAGTGACGCACAGCATATTTGGGCGACCAGCCGCTTGAGCCAACGCGGCCGCGGGCGCACGCTCGTTTCCTTACGTCCCGCAGCTCGCTTTAGAGTGGTCTAGGGCGTTTCCTTTTCCAACCTCCTGCCTTTCCTTGCTCGGGAGGTTTACCGCCCCCCCCCTCCATGCGTTTGGACGGGGGGGGTGGGCCCAACCCGTAGCAGCGTCCAAGATGGCCCAAGATGACTCCAAGAGGGCCTCAGAGAGCGCTAGATGGACTCCAAGATGGCCCAAGAGAACGGTAGATGTGTCAAAATAGCCTCCGACACGCGTCCAAGAGGCCTCAAGACGGCCCCAAGACGGTTTCAGTGGTGTCAGATGGCCCCAAAACGACCCAAGATAGCCCCCCAAGACGGCCCCAAGAGCGCCCAAGAGCGCTCCAAGAGCGGCCCAAAAAGGCCCCTAGGACGGTAGTTTTGAGCCTCCGATGGGGGCGATGGGAATTGGAACCCCTATTTTTTTAGCGAGAGGGTCCAAGACGGCCCCAAGAGGCCCCTCTGGCTTCCCAAAAGAACCCCAAGAAGGCCCCCAGACCCCCGAAACGAGCCCCAAGACGTTCCAAAAGAGCCCCGAGAGGTCTCCAAGAAGGCCCTAAGAGAACCTCCCTCACCCCTCATCGAAGCACCACCGTAGCTTGCACCGATTTCCATCTTAAACTTCAATGCGGGAAGCTCTTTGTGATCCTTGCTTTCATGAACACGGCTGCCCAACTGCATGCGTCCTGCCGCCCCTGATTCACCGACTCACCTGCTGATCGTTTCTGGATGGGCTGGTGGGGCTGCGACCACCTTCAAGAATTATCCACGTAGGCCGCGCGAAAAGGGTGCCTCGAATAATGTTGGCGCCGAAGGTCTCTTCTTCCCAGGTGTGTCGCAAGTGCCGGCTCCCGTCGGTGTCTGGAAATGCCACCCAAGTTTCTCCTGCATCGCCCTTCACCATGTAATCGTCCCCGGGCACTAGCTCTTCCGCCTGCCGCTTATCCCGACAAGTGTCTCAGAAGAAACAGAAGATCACAAGAGGCAACACCACAACAACAAGCAAAGCGACGCCGTCATCGTCGCCACGACCCATCGTAGATGAAAACGGATGAACGCTTTCAAGGCCACGATCCCTCGTCAGTTACCAAGGTTTCGCGCTCCCGGTGTCAAGATCCTTTTGGCACGACGCTGGCTTCGCGCTCCCAGAGCGTGAATCACACGGGCTACACGCTCACCTAGCCGCAAAGCTCGTAAATGCAAATATATTCGTACTGACAGGGCCGCGATCTTTCGCACATTACGCGGGTCCACGCTCCAGGGGCCACGATCCCTCGTACATTAAGCTGCGTGATCGCTTCCAGGGTCCCCATGGAGACCTTGGGCGTCTATGTTCCTGGAAGGCTCCAACACAAGCGTTTCGCCCGAGACATCATGAACAAATTCTGGAAAGCGATCGTTTCGCCCGACACATCTACAACAGACCACAAATCTCAATGAACTCCGTTATGAAACGAGCAGAAATTCAAAGAAATCCGCGCGTTGCTCGAGACATCCTCAAGGTTCAACTCCGCTGGTCCACCTCGACATCGGCATGTGTCACGTAAGATTCCGCCGACCTAGCTCACATCAAGGGGGAAAACCGAAAAGAGAACCCTGAGGCCAAACACTTCCAGGAAAACATAAAAAGGCCCAAATACCCAAAGGGCCGAGGCGGGGGAAGCGGAGCAGAAACTGATCATAAAAAATTGAACTTCAACGCTACGACATGTGATGGGAAAAGTTTGAGGCCCTCGTGGATGGCCCCCAAAAGCCGGAGGCAAGAACCAGAAACGGAGCCCCGAATTTCAAGAGATCATTTGACTGCTGCGGACACTGTGTAGGGGGGTTCCACGAATGCCCGAGCGAAGACGCAGAAGACCTCAAGCAGTCCCAGTGGGGCCCATCATGCAAACAACTCTCGGACGGTAGGACCCCGCATGATAATCTGATTAGAATGCCTGGAGATATCCTCCTGCTCCCTCCAATTTCCTCCCCCTGCACGCTCGCCCATCGTATTGCTTCATCATGATGCCTCCTCCTCCTCCTCCTCCTCCTCCTCGTCCTCCTCCTCCTCCGTTTCCTGCTTCCTCCTCCGCCTCTTTGCGCCTCGTCCTTCCCATGCCTCTTCCTCCGCCTTCCTCCCCCTCCTCCTCCTGCCCCCCGCCCCCTGCATCCTCCTCCTCCTTCTCTTTCTGCCCCCTGCCCCCATGCCCCCTCCCCCTCCTCCTCCTCCTCCTCCTCCTCCTCCTCCTCCTCCTCCTCCTCCTCCTCCCCTCCTCCTCCTCCTCCTCCTCCTCCTCCTCCTCCTCCTCCTCCTCCTCCTCCTCCTCCTCCTCCTCCTCCATGACTGCTTCAGCACTGCTTTCTTTCTGCTCCTGCCCGCTACTCCTCCGCCCATCTCTCCCCCGTGAGCCTCCTGCCTCCTCTTGTGCAACCTCCTGGAGCCCGGTCCACCCTGCGCCCTCCTGGAGAAATCCTATGGCCCTCCTGTGGTTCCCTACAGTCGGGGCGTTGACCTAAGGAACCTTAAATAAGGAACGAGGTCCTTTGATCCCAAAAGTTAAGCTTCGATTTCCCATCGAAAACCTCAAGAAAACCCAAGCCAAGCTGTAAAACAATCAAGGAACACCGAGCCCCTCCCCAACGAACAGGGTTCCTTCTTCAGCGCCCTGACTGTACTGGCTCTGGGGCCTCCTGGGGTTTCGGATGCAGTCCGAAAGCTCCCGCTCGAGATTCCCACGATTCACGCACCGACGAAGCTCTGGCTTGAAACCTCTCGTTTGTAGCCCGGAGGAGCCCCCGAAAGAGCGAGAATTAGAACTGCGCCCCTGCCCCTACCTTGGGCTGCAGCTCGCTGGATACTGCTGCGTGAAAGGCGCTGCTACCCTGGGCTGCAGTGCCATGCAATCAAATACCCCAGCATTGCTTATCCCACACGGCACTTGAACGAGAGAAGGACATGCTTGGTCGCCCGGTAGATGCTGAACGACAGAACTTCAGGTAGATGCAGTGGAAACAGGTCCCCCGTTTCCCGAAAATGTGGAGTGACTTGGCGGAGAGGAAGAATCTTTTCCACCGCAAACACTCCACCAGCACACCGCAAGCCGCGCTGCATGCCCCCGAGACCGCTGCACTCTGACTGCGGCCTGTCAACTTACGGACTGTCCGCGGCGCCGTCTGTCATCTCAAGGAGAATTAGGAGGCAAAACGGTAAAACCCCTATAGCCCCACCTTGCCTGCCCGGGCATACGGATGTACAATCGTAACCTATACCAACGCAGTCCTGAAATTCGCCGGCCCAACGGGCCAGAGGCGTGCTAAGATCTCCGGTAACTTGTTAACAATATTTCTAGTTCGCGCGCGCGGAGCGGCCCCTGGGGGCCCCCGGACGAAAAGTACCCCGGCAAGGTCCCGAGAGAAGCCCGGGAGAAGCCACCAGACCACTCCAGGGGAGGGTATTTTTCGACACCCCTCACGAGGATCGTGGCCTCCGAGGGGGGAGCCGCAATCGACTACCCCCAAGAGCCCCCCAAGAGGCCCTGGGGGCCTCCAAAACGCCGCCAAGGAGCCCCAAGAGACTCCCAAGAGGTCCCCAAGAGGCCCCCAAGAGGCCCTAAAGAGGGCTCCAGGGCCGGCGGCATGAGCTAAGTGATTAAATAAATGTGTGCGTGCGTGTGTGAATGTGTGTGGTGCGTGTGCGTGTGAGGGTGTGTGTGTGTGTTTGTGTGTGTATTCAAGCGGGCTCACCAACATCGGACGGGCTTTACAAATGCGGATGCCCACATACTCACTAGAACCATCGCGCGCGCTTCGCGCGCGCTCGATTTCTAGTTAGGCTTGATAGGCGAACTCATGTAATCTTATGTTGGTCGCTTCTTGCGTCCAGGGACTGCCTTGGAGGCCCTGCTCAAGCCTCGGAATCGTATAGAAGGGGAAGTGCGGAAGCGCAGAAAACATTGTTTCCTTGAGGTATTCAACGGTTTGCGGCCCTCAAAGGCTTCCAGGGTTCCTTTTTGGGAGGTGAGGGGGGTCTGATTTGTGGTCTGTTGTGCAAGAGTAGACTGGGGGCCAAACTTGAACAAAAAAGGACTTGCGGGATTTCCATGTTATTCCAATTCCTCGGCGCTGTTCGGCGCTGGTTTTTGTGAGTGCCTCGCGTGTTTTATTAGCCGGGCCCCTCAAGGGTGTGGGATCTTCCGGACCACCTGGAGCGTCTGGAGGCCTCATGGAGGCTTGGAGAGCCGCCAGAAGGGTGTCTCGGGCTGCGCGGGAGAGTGTTGGGCCGGTCTTTACGTTCTGGGGGCTCCTTGATGTCGTCGTGGGCTGTCCTTCGGCGTCTTGGGGTCTCCCCCCGGGAAGCCGTGAGGCGCGGTACCGGCCAGATGTCAGGGGATGTGTGGGCCCCCCGAGTAGGAGTTCCATTTTGAAAACTAGCAAAAATCTGGGAAGTGGGTTTTTTATGTTCAAAATCATCGATTCTCGAGGGTTGGAAGCGGGAAAACATGAGAAGGCGAGGGACATTAGAAAAACCATGGGACATCAACGGTTTTACCCTCTTTGGGCTCTCTCGGGACGGCTCTCGCGGCTCTCTTGGGCTGTTCTTGGGTCCTCGTCAGGGTCTTTCTGGGCCTCTCAGGGATCGGGGGTGTGTTGGGGGCCTCTGGGTGGTCCCAAAAGCCTCTCGGAGGTCTCTGGAAACCTCCTGCTCCCGCTCTTGGGCCCATCTTGGGCCTGTTCTGGGGTGGTCTGGGGCTGTCCTGGGCGCCTCTTCGGCAGTCTTGGAGCCTTCTTGGCCCATCTTGGGGCCGTCGTGAGGGTCTCTTGGGTGATCTTGGGGCGGTCTTGGGAGCCTCTTCGGCGCTCTTGGACAATTGAAGCTCGAAAACGCGAGAAGCTAAAAACATTGAAAAAACAATGAACATCTACGATTTGGGCCTCTTCGAGACGTCCTGGGACGCCTCTCGGACCTCTCTTGGGGTCTCTTGGGGGCCACCTGGGAGCCTCGAGAGCCGTCGGAAGGCTGACTTGGGCTGCTCGGAAGCGTCTTGGATCATTCTTTCGAATTCTGGGGGCTTCTGGGAGGCGTCTTTGGACCCTCCTGGGACGCTGTGGAGGCTCCCCGGAAAGGCCGGGGAAGCGGTACCGGGAGGGGCCGGCGTGGGAAGATGTTCAATATGAAGTGGGCTGGCTTGAAATGTACGGGTCTCTTGTGGATCTTCCTGTTTGGGCTGCCTTGAAGGCCTTGGGGCCCGCTTGGGCTCCTCTTGGGCTCTTCTTCGAAATTGTGGGGCCGTCTCGAGCCGCGGCGCCATGTGAAGCTCTCCCGAAGCCATCCGAAGGAGACGAGCATGAGGTTTACTGAATATGGAGAAACCTGAATGGCTTTTGCGTTGGTGGCTCTCTGGGGTCATCTGGGAGGGCCTTTGGGAGTTCCATTGGGGCATCTTGTGGCCCCTGGGGGCCGCCTTGAAACATCTTGGAGCGTCTTGGACCGCTAAAGGGCCATCTTGGCGGCCAGCGGGCGCCCTCCTGAACCAACACGGAACCCTCTTCAGGCCGACAGAATCACCCCAAGACCCCAAAGTGGATCCCGGAGCCAAGGGAGGGCAAATTGGGTTGCGACGGGGGACGTTTGGGAAATACCGTCGATTTCCGATCGGGAACCTGCTGTTTTTGGCGTGTTCGCCTTTTGGGCTTCCACCGCGTCCTAGACGGCCCAAGAGGCACCCGAGCCGGTCGAGGATGCCCCCAAGAGGGCCCCAAGAGGGCCTACGAGGGGGCCAAGACGGCCCACGAGGCGCCCAAACCGCCTAAGAAGGCCCCGAGTCGGCGCCCAAGATGGGGACGAGGAGCCGAAAATTCGCGCCTGTTGGCCCAAGAGGCCACCAGGAGACCTCAAGAGGCTCCAAGAAGCGCCCAAGAAGCCCCAAGAGGCCCCCATGAGACCAGAAAAAATACCAACAGAGGCCCCGAAGACCCCCCAAGAGGCACCCCAATAGCCAAAAAAAATATCGTCGATTTCCGATCGGGAAACTGCTGTTTTTGGCGTGTTCGCCTTTTGGGCTTCCACTGCGTCCCAGACGGCCGAAGAGGCACCCGAGCCGGTCGAGGATGCCCCTCAGAGGGCCCCAAGACGGCCCACGAGGTGGCCAAAACGGCCCACGCGACGCCTAAACCGCCCGAGAACGCCCCAGGTTGGCGCCCAAGACGGGGACGAGGAACCGAAAATGCAAGCCATGTGGCCCAAGAGGCCCCCAGGAGACCCTAAGAGGCTCCAAGAAGCGCCCAAGAAACCCCAAGATGCCCCCAAGAGACCCGCAAAAACACAACAAGAGGCCCCGAACACACCCCAAGGGACACCGCAATAGAGCCCCAATAAGCAAAGATTGTCGATTTCTTATCGGGAGACTGCTGTTTTTGGCGTGTTCGCCTTTTGAGCCTCCACTGCGTCCAAGACGGCCCAAGAGGCCCCTAAGACTGCCCCGCAGGCCCCTAAGATGTCACGAATATTGTCGGGGGTTCTCTCAGCAATGTGAACATGTGACCTCACACGTTCAAGTAGAGCGTCAAATTGTTGTTGGTCTCTCGGCATATGGAAGTTTAGAGGCTGCAGGAGTCGTTGTGCACGCGATGTCCCCACTCCAAGCGCTCTGAATAAAACCACTGCTAGGATTTGGAAATCGGGGATGTTGAAGCCGGCTGTCTCAGCTTCATAGCGGTCTATCTCAAGCCGTGCTAACGTCTGGTCGATGCGCTCTCCCGCGTGGACTCGGAAATCAATGAGAGCCGTACCAAAGTTGAGTTGGCGCTCATCTTCTAAATTCTCGAACTTCGTGCTTCAGAGGAACATGATGTAGGTGGCGCCATCAGTATGGCGGCCACCTACGTTGACGCCAAAGTTGATAACTGCTGGAAGGACACTCATGGCTATGGCCCGTGCGAGACCTCCCAAACCTCGCAGCAGACCTGCAGCCTGCTGGGAGAGCGTCAAATTGCCTGTGGTCACGTTGATCCAGGCATATACTTCGCGGGCGAATTCGCGAAAAGGTACTTGACCAACTAGGTCCCAGTGAGGGCCGGTCGTTCTTGCATCGTCTCCGCCGCGCATATGTCCTACCGCGCACCCGATAGCTACCCATGTGAGCCCAAAATTAATAACACCAACCCAATGGCTTCGTAGGTCGTATTCGGATGTCGTCGGCTGGGACTTCCGTTGGGTAGTCGTAACTTTGCGTGGGGTTGGAAACGGCAGTATTTCATATCGCATGTTTCCATGCATTATATCTTCGACGAAATTTCGAATTGGAGTAGGTGGGTGGACTTCCGGAGTGTAGAAGCGCAGGGATGTAGGATGTAGGTAAGAGACCTCCGCTTGAACAGAGGTATCGTTGCAAGTGTCCTTGCGATGTTGCGTAGCTATGTACGTTCCTCCGCGAAAACCCACTGCACACTGATGTTCCACCATGTCCGTAGTCCACCAGATAATGCCGTGGATGGTGAGGAGTAGAGCAAGAGCTGACCACAATAGGCCAGCTCCGCTATCAAGTTTGAGGGGGGGCTGGGAGGCCCAGCTAACAGCTTCGCCCTAGGCGAAGCTCAGCTCCTGTTCTGTTGTACCGTAGTAGCGATAGTCCCAATAGGAGAGGATGTACCATCTCAAGCAATAAGAAGATTTGTTTGGTCTCGATAGCGACTGTGCGCCTCGCAGTGACGCACAGCATATTTGGGCGACCGGCCGCTTGAGCCAACGCGGCCGCGGGCGCACGCTCGTTTCCTTACGTCCCTCAGCTCGCTTTAGAGTGGTCTAGGGCGTTTCCTTTTCCAACCTCCTGCCTTTCCTTGCTCGGGAGGTTTACCGCCCCCCCCCTCCATGCGTTTGGACGGGGGGGGTGGGCCCAACCCGTAGCAGCGTCCAAGATGGCCCAAGATGACTCCAAGAGGGCCTCAGAGAGCGCTAGATGGACTCCAAGATGGCCCAAGAGAACGGTAGATGGGTCAAAATAACCTCCGACACGCGTCCAAGAGGCCTCAAGACGGCCCAAGACGGTTTCAGTGGTGTCAGATGGCCCCAAAACGACCCAAGATAGCCCGAAGAGGGGCCGAAGAGGGCCCCAAGACGGCCCCAAGAGCGCCCAAGAGCGCTCCAAGAGCGGCCCAAAAAGGCCCCTAGGACGGTAGTTTTGAGCCTCCGATGGGGGCGATGGGAATTGGAACCCCTATTTTTTAGCGAGAGGGTCCAAGACGGCCCCAAGAGGCCCCTCTGGCTTCCCAAAAGAGCCCCAAGAAGGCCCCCAGACCCCCGAAACGAGCCCCAAGAGGGCCCCAAGACGTTCCAAAAGAGCCCCGAGAGGTCTCCAAGAAGGCCCTAAGAGAACCTCCCTCACCCCTCATCGAAGCACCACCGTAGCTTGCACCGATTTCCATCTTAAACTTCAATGCGGGAAGCTTCACACGGCTGCCCAACTGCATGCGTCCTGCCGCCCCTGATTCACCGACTCACCTGCTGATCGTTTCTGGATGGGCTGGTGGGGCTGCGACCACCTTCAAGAATTATCCACGTAGGCCGCGCGAAAAGGGTGCCTCGAATAATGTTGGCGCCGAAGGTCTCTTCTTCCCAGGTGTGTCGCAAGTGCCGGCTCCCGTCGGTGTCTGGAAATGCCACCCAAGTTTCTCCTGCATCGCCCTTCACCATGTAATCGTCCCCGGGCACTAGCTCTTCCGCCTGCCGCTTATCCCGACAAGTGTCTCAGAAGAAACAGAAGATCACAAGAGGCAAAACCACAACAACAAGCAAAGCGACGCCGTCATCGTCGCCACGACCCATCGTAGATGAAAACGGATGAACGCTTTCAGGGCCACGATCCCTCGTCAGTTACCAAGGTTTCGCGCTCCCGGTGTCAAGATCCTTTTGGCACGACGCTGGCTTCGCGCTCCCAGAGCGTGAATCACACGGGCTACACGCTCACCTAGCCGCAAAGCTCGTAAATGCAAATAGATTCGTACTGACAGGGCCGCGATCTTTCGCACATTACGCGGGTCCACGCTCCAGGGGCCACGATCCCTCGTACATTAAGCTGCGTGATCGCTTCCAGGGTCCCCATGGAGACCTTGGGCGTCTATGTTCCTGGAAGGCTCCAACACAAGCGTTTCGCCCGAGACATCATGAACAAATTCTGGAAAGCGATCGTTTCGCCCGACACATCTACAACAGACCACAAATCTCAATGAACTCCGTTATGAAACGAGCAGAAATTCAAAGAAATCCGCGCGTTGCTCGAGACATCCTCAAGGTTCAACTCCGCTGGTCCACCTCGACATCGGCATGTGTCACCTAAGATTCCGCCGACCTAGCTCACATCAAGGGGGAAAACCGAAAAGAGAACCCTGAGGCCAAACACTTCCAGGAAAACATAAAAAGGCCCAAATACCCAAAGGGCCGAGGCGGGGGAAGCGGAGCAGAAACTGATCATAAAAAAATTGAACTTCAAAGCTACGACATGTGATGGGAAAAGTTTGAGGCACTCGTGGATGGCCCCCAAAAGCCGGAGGCAAGAACCAGAAACGGAGCCCCGAATTTCAAGAGATCATTTGACTGCTGCGGACACTGTGTAGGGGGGTTCCACGAATGCCCGAGCGAAGACGCAGAAGACCTCAAGCAGTCCCAGTGGGGCCCATCATGCAAACAACTCTCGGACGGTAGGACCCCGCATGATAATCTGATTAGAATGCCTGGAGATATCCTCCTGCTCCCTCCAATTTCCTCCCCCTGCCCGCTCGCCCATCGTATTGCTTCATCATGATGCCTCCTCCTCCTCCTCCTCCTCGTCCTCCTCCTCCTCCGTTTCCTGCTTCCTCCTCCGCCTCTTTGCGCCTCGTCCTTCCCATGCCTCTTCCTCCACCTTCCTCCCCCTCCTCCTCCTGCCCCCCGCCCCCTGCATCCTCCTCCTCCTTCTCTTTCTGCCCCCTGCCCCCATGCCCCCTCCCCCTCCTCCTCCTCCTCCTCCTCCTCCTCCTCCTCCTGACTGCTTTCTTTCTGCTCCGCCCCTACCTGATATGTCCAAGATGGTTTGAAGACCCCCTGGGAGGCCACCAAGACCTGGAGACCTCCATATGCCGCCCTCCTGGCAAAGATAGCCCCAAGATAGCCACCCTACAGTCATCCCACCAAGAGGCTCCAAGACGGGAAAAGGATCCTTTGAGCCTCCAGCGGACCCAAAGAGGCCCAATCAAAATTCTCGAAAACCTCAAGAAGCCCAAGAAACAATCAAGGAACACCAAGAGCCCCTCCCCCAACAGACGTAAGTTCCTTCTTGGCCCTTAATTCACGGCACCGACGAAGCTCTGGCTTGAAACCTCCGGAGTTCCGAGACCCCGAAAGAGCGAGAATTAGAACTGCGCCCCTGCCCCTACCTTGGGCTGCAGCTCGCTGGATACTGCTGCGTGAAAGGCGCTGCTACCCTGGGCTGCAGTGCCATGCAATCAAATACCCCAGCATTGCTTATCCCACACGGCACTTGAACGAGAGAAGGACATGCTTGGTCGCCCGGTAGATGCTGAACGACAGAACTTCAGGTAGATGCAGTGGAAACAGGTCCCCCGTTTCCCGAAAATGTGGAGTGACTTGGCGGAGAGGAAGAATCTTTTCCACCGCAAACACTCCACCAGCACACCGCAAGCCGCGCTGCATGCCCCCGAGACCGCTGCACTCTGACTGCGGCCTGTCAACTTACGGACTGTCCGCGGCGCCGTCTGTCATCTCAAGGAGAATTAGGAGGCAAAACGGTAAAACCCCTATAGCCCCACCTTGCCTGCCCGGGCATACGGATGTACAATCGTAACCTATACCAACGCAGTCCTGAAATTCGCCGGCCCAACGGGCCAGAGGCGTGCTCAGATCTCCGGTAAACTTGAGTGTAATTAACATATTTCTACGTTCGCCACGGGGCGGGAAGGGCCCCTTGGGGGGACCCCGGACGAAACAGAGTTACCCACGGCTAAGGTCCGAGAGAAGACCGGGAGAGGGGAGAAGCCACCAGAACACTCCAGGGGAGGGTATTTTTCGACACCCCTCACGAGGATCGTGGCCTCCGAGGGGGGAGCCGCAATCGACTACCCCCAAGAGCCCCCCAAGAGGCCCTGGGGGCCTCCAAAACGCCGCCAAGGAGCCCAAGAGACTCCCAAGAGGTCCCCAAGAGGCCCCCAAGAGGCCCTAAAGAGGGCTCCAGGGCCCCGGTCCGGCATCATGAGCTAAGTGATTTTATATATGTCGTGCGTGTTGTACTTCGCTTCGTGTTTGTGAATTGTGTGTCGGTGCGTCTCGGTGCGTGTGAGGGTGTGTGTTGTGTGGGCTGTTTGTGTGTATTCAGCGGGTCTACCAACATCGAGACGGGGTCTTTACCAAATGCGGAATGCCACATATCACTAGAACCATCGCGCGCGCGCTTCGCGCAGCGCTCGATTTCTTTAGTTAGGCTTGATAGGCGAATCTGTAATATTATGTTGGGTCGCTTCTCGTCGGCGAACTGCTGGAAGGCCCCTGGAGAAAGCCTCGGAATCGTATAGAAGGGGAAGTGCGGAAGCGCAGAAAACATTGTTTCCTTGAGGTATTCAACGGTTTGCGGCCCTCAAAGGCTTCCAGGGTTCCGTTTTGGGAGGTGAGGGGGGTCTGATTTGTGGTCTGTTGTGCAAAAGAGTAGACTGGGGCCCCAACTTGAACATAAAAAAGGATTGCGGGGATTTCCCATGTTATTCCAATCCTCGGCGCTGGTTCGCTCGCTGGTTTTTTTGTAAGTGCTACCTCCCCTTCGCGTGTTTTTATTAGACGAGGGCCCCCTTCAAGGTGTGTGGGATCTTTCCGGCCCACCTGGAGGTCGTCTTGGAGCCTCTTGGAGGCTTCGGAGAGCCGCCAAGAAGGGTTGTCTCTCGGGACTGCGGCGGTGAGCGGAAGATCAGAGGGGGAGAGTGTTGGGCCGGTCTTTACGTTCTGGGGGCTCCTTGATGTCGTCGTGGGCTGTCCTTCGGCGTCTTGGGGTCTCCCCCCGGGAAGCCGTGAGGCGCGGTACCGGCCAGATGTCAGGGGATGTGTGGGCCCCCCGAGTAGGAGTTCCATTTTGAAAACTAGCAAAAATCTGGGAAGTGGGTTTTTTATGTTCAAAATCATCGATTCTCGAGGGTTGGAAGCGGGAAAACATGAGAAGGCGAGGGACATTAGAAAAACCATGGGACATCAACGGTTTTACCCTCTTTGGGCTCTCTCGGGACGGCTCTCGCGGCTCTCTTGGGCTGTTCTTGGGTCCTCGTCAGGGTCTTTCTGGGCCTCTCAGGGATCGGGGGTGTGTTGGGGGCCTCTGGGTGGTCCCAAAAGCCTCTCGGAGGTCTCTGGAAACCTCCTGCTCCCGCTCTTGGGCCCATCTTGGGCCTGTTCTGGGGTGGTCTGGGGCTGTCCTGGGCGCCTCTTCGGCAGTCTTGGAGCCTTCTTGGCCCATCTTGGGGCCGTCGTGAGGGTCTCTTGGGTGATCTTGGGGCGGTCTTGGGAGCCTCTTCGGCGCTCTTGGACAATTGAAGCTCGAAAACGCGAGAAGCTAAAAACATTGAAAAAACAATGAACATCTACGATTTGGGCCTCTTCGAGACGTCCTGGGACGCCTCTCGGACCTCTCTTGGGGTCTCTTGGGGGCCACCTGGGAGCCTCGAGAGCCGTCGGAAGGCTGACTTGGGCTGCTCGGAAGCGTCTTGGATCATTCTTTCGAATTCTGGGGGCTTCTGGGAGGCGTCTTTGGACCCTCCTGGGACGCTGTGGAGGCTCCCCGGAAAGGCCGGGGGAGCGGTACCGGGAGGGGCCGGCGTGGCAAGATGTTCAATATGAAGTGGGCTGGCTTGAAATGTACGGGTCTCTTGTGGATCTTCCTGTTTGGGCTGCCTTGAAGGCCTTGGGGCCCGCTTGGGCTCCTCTTGGGCTCTTCTTCGAAGTTGTGGGGCCGTCTCGAGCCGCGGCGCCATGTGAAGCTCTCCCGAAGCCATCCGAAGGAGACGAGGGACGTTTGGGAAATACCGTCGATTTCCGATCGGGAACCTGCTGTTTTTGGCGTGTTCGCCTTTTGGGCTTCCACTGCGTCCTAGACGGCCCAAGAGGCACCCGAGCCGGTCGAGGATGCCCCCAAGAGGGCCCCAAGAGGGCCTACGAGGGGGCCAAGACGGCCCACGAGGCGCCCAAACCGCCTAAGAAGGCCCCGAGTCGGCGCCCAAGATGGGGACGAGGAACCGAAAATTCGCGCCTGTTGGCCCAAGAGGCCACCAGGAGACCTCAAGAGGCTCCAAGAAGCGCCCAAGAAGCCCCAAGAGGCCCCCATGAGACCAGAAAAAATACCAACAGAGGCCCCGAAGACCCCCCAAGAGGCACCCCAATAGCCAAAACAAATATCGTCGATTTCCGATCGGGAAACTGCTGTTTTTGGCGTGTTCGCCTTTTGGGCTTCCACTGCGTCCCAGACGGCCGAAGAGGCACCCGAGCCGGTCGAGGATGCCCCTCAGAGGGCCCCAAGACGGCCCACGAGGTGGCCAAAACGGCCCACGCGACGCCTAAACCGCCCGAGAACGCCCCAGGTTGGCGCCCAAGACGGGGACGAGGAACCGAAAATGCAAGCCATGTGGCCCAAGAGGCCCCCAGGAGACCCTTTAATTCAACAGATGGCCAAGAACGGCCCAAGAAACCCAAGATGCCCCCAAGAGCCCGCGCACAAACAAAAACACAACAATGAGGCCTCGACACACCCACAGGGACACCCGCAATAGAGGCCCCAAAAGCAAGATTGTCGAATTTCTTTATCGGGAAGACTGCTTTTTTGGCGCGTTTCGCCTTTTTTTTGAGCCTCCACTGCGTCCAAGACGGCCCAAGAGGCCCCTAAGACTGCCCCGCAGGCCCCTAAGATGTCACGAATATTGTCGGGGGTTCTCTCAGCAATGTGAGCATGTGACCTCACACTTTCAAGTAGAGCGTCAAATTGTTGTTGGTCTCTCGGCATATGGAAGTTTAGAGGCTGCAGGAGTCGTTGTGCACGCGATGTCCCCACTCCAAGCGCTCTGAATAAAACCACAGCTAGGATTTGGAAATCGGGGATGTTGAAGCCGGCTGTCTCAGCTTCATAGCGGGCTATCTCAAGCCGTGCTAACGTCTGGTCGATGCGCTCTCCCGCATGGACTCGGAAATCAATGAGAGCCGTACCAGAGTTGAGTTGGCGCTCATCTTCTCAATTCTCGAACTTCGTGCTTCAGAGGAACATGATGTAGGTGGCGCCATCAGTATGGCGGCCACCTATGTTGACGCCAAAGTTGATAACTGCTGGAAGGACACTCATGGCTATGGCCCGTGCGAGACCTCCCAAACCTCGCAGCAGACCTGCAGCCTGCTGGGAGAGCGTCAAATTTCCTGTGGTCACGTTGATCCAGGCATATACTTCGCGGGCGAATTCGCGAAAAGGTACTTGACCAACTAGGTCCCAGTGAGGGCCGGTCGTTCTTGCATCGTCTCCGCCGCGCATATGTCCTACCGCGCACCCGATAGCTACCCATGTGAGCCCAAAATTAATAACACCAATCCAATGGCTTCGTAGGTCGTATTCGGATGTCGTCGGTTGGGACTTCCGTTGGGTAGTCGTAACTTTGCGTGGGGTTGGAAACGGCAGTATTTCATATCGCATGTTTCCATGCATTATATCTTCGACGAAATTTCGAATTGGAGTAGGCGGGTGGACTTCCGGAGTGTAGAAGCGCAGGGATGTAGGATGTAGGTAAGAGACCTCCGTTTGAACAGAGGTATCGTTGCAAGTGTCCTTGCGATGTTGCGTAGCTATGTACGTTCTTCCGCGAAAACCCACTGCACACTGATGTTCCACCATGTCCGTAGTCCACCAGATAATGCCGTGGATGGTGAGGAGTAGAGCAAGAGCTGACCACAATAGGCCAGCTCCGCTATCAAGTTTGAGGGGGGGCTGGGAGGCCCAGCAAACAGCTTCGCCTTAGGCGAAGCCAAGCTCCTGTTCTGTTGTACCGTAGTAGCGATAGTCCCAATAGGAGAGGATGTGCCATCTCAAGCAATAAAAAGATTTGTTTGGTCTCGATAGCGACTGTGCGCCTCGCAGTGACGCACAGCATATTTGGGCGACCGGCCGCTTGAGCCAACGCGGCCGCGGGCGCACGCTCGTTTCCTTACGTCCCTCAGTTCGCTTTAGAGTGGTCTAGGGCGTTTCCTTTTCCAACCTCCTGCCTTTCCTTGCTCGGGAGGTTTACCGCCCCCCCCCTCCATGCGTTTGGACGGGGGGGGTGGGCCCAACCCGTAGCAGCGTCCAAGATGGCCCAAGATGACTCCAAGAGGGCCTCAGAGAGCGCTAGATGGACTCCAAGATGGCCCAAGAGAACGGTAGATGGGTCAAAATAACCTCCGACACGCGTCCAAGAGGCCTCAAGACGGCCCCAAGACGGTTTCAGTGGTGTCAGATGGCCCCAAAACGACCCAAGATAGCCCCAAGAGGGGCAGAAGAGGGCCCCAAGACGGCCCCAAGAGCGCCCAAGAGCGCTCCAAGAGCGGCCCAAAAAGGCCCCTAGGATGGTAGTTTTGAGCCTCCGATGGGGGCGATGGGAATTGGAACCCTTATTTTTTTAGCGAGAGGGTCCAAGACGGCCCCAAGAGGCCCCTCTGGCTTCCCAAAAGAGCCCCAAGAAGGCCCCCAGACCCCCGAAACGAGCCCCAAGAGGGCCCCAAGACGTTCCAAAAGAGCCCCGAGAGGTCTCCAAGAAGGCCCTAAGAGAACCTCCCTCACCCCTCATCGAAGCACCACCGTAGCTTGCACCGATTTCCAT